CCTAAACCGTAAACCCCTAGACCCTAAACCCTAGACCCTAAACCCTAAACCCTAAACCCTTTATGGACCTAGAGAACGGTGCAGCTGCCATCGAGTTGCAGATAACGCGGCTTCGCTGGAGATACTGCACACCTCAGCGTCGTTAATATAGGGGGGGATTCATTCTTGGAATAGGGTTTCATAGGGCTCCTTTAAAGGGCTCCTTAAAAGGGTTCTATAAGGGCTGCTATAGGTTTAGGGTTTAGGGTTCTTCATAATTAGAATAGGGTTTTGGGGCCCCATATACCTCTAATTTGCCTATAATTATAATGAGGAACACCAAAATAGTATTGGTAGTTACTACGTTAATGCTTACAAGGTCGGATCTCGGCACTTAGCGTTTTGCTCTTGAGGGCTTAGGATGTTTAGGGTCTGCGGCTTAGGGTTTAGGGGTTAGGGTTCAGGGTTTAGGGTTTAGGGTTTAGGGTTTAGGCTTAGGGTTCCGAGTTTAGGGGTTTAGGGTTCAGGGTTTAGGGCTTAGGGTTTAGGGTTTAGGGTCTACGGCTTAGGGTTTGGGGCTATTTTTGTAACCTGAATGATACACACACTGAACTCGCCTCCAGTGGCGTGGTCTCTTCCCTCTTATGCCTAGTCCCTGAACCCTAAACCCAAACAACTAAACCCTAAACCCTGAACCCCCAAGCAACCCTGAACCTAAGACTCGAACGATCACGGGTGCCTAAAGCCAAACCCCAAAACGCCCACCGCACAACCCTAGACGGTTTAGGGTTTACGGTTTACGGTTTAGGGTTTAGAGCTAGACCTAAAATCCAAATCCTGCAACCGTAAACCACAAGTCCCAAACTATGACCACCCCTTGTGCCTAAACCCCTAAAGCCCCAAAATCCTCAGCGACAAACCTGAAACCCTGCCCTGACCTCCCTACAGCATGTAAAGCCCACAATATGGGTAGTTCTCTAAATTAGGGTCCCTTTTTGGGTCCCCAATATAGTGCGGCACTCTTATGAAAAGGACCCTAAAAGGGACCCTAATTTAGAGAACTACCCATACAATACAGATCTAAACCCGCGGCCTCAACCGCCCCCCGCAAGCAAAAAAATGCAAACCCTAAACTCTACATACGTGCTACACTCACTCCTCAGGCCCACATGTAATGTAGGGGCCTTAATAGTTAGAATAGGGTTTTGGGGCCAATTAGACTAGACCTATAGTAAGGAACCCCCAAAATAGTATTGGTAATCATTTAGGCCCCTACATTAAACCCTAAACTCTAAACCCTAAACCTTATAATTATCACCCATGTCCAGTAATTAATTTAAGCCCCTAAATTAACGGAAGACTAAACGTCAACCCGGGCGCAGAGGCTGTGCTGACCTGCCCCATGGGCCTGACTCACGAAGGTGTCTAAGGCACTGGTCAAGCCGATTCCTTCGGTCTGCGTGGGTGGTTTAGGGTTTGTTTAGGGTCTGTTTAGGGTTTAGGGTTTTAGGATTTAGGGTTTAGTGCGTGGCTATGGCTTTTGGGGCTTAGGGTTTGGGGTTTTTGCTTTTCTGGCTTTATGTTTCTGCTTCTTCACAGGTTTTATATATGACGATTTCGGCTTGTGCTACGCCCTCTCCCTCCTGCAGACTGAAGTGGCTTTCTAGCTTTCTAGGGTCTAGAGGTGAAGGTACAGGGTGCCAACCCTCAACCCTAAACCACAAACCCTTTACCCCTACGCCCTAAACCCGAAATCCTAACCCCTAAACCCCTACGCCCTAAACCCTAAACCCTAACCCCGAAGCCCCTAAACCCCTAAACCCCGAACCCCTAAACCCCAAACCCTAGACCCTGCTTTATTGACGCGCCCCAAAACTGTTTCAGGGAATTTCGGACTGCAGGTTGGCCCAAACCCTGCAAACGTTTTAGGGCTTAAGGTTTACTGGCTAAGGGGTTTAGGTTTAGGGTTGGGGGTTTAGGGTTTAGAGGTTTAGGGGT